GAGGACATAACAACAATGCTTCGAGAGGATATTCTTAAGGGGTCATTAAATGAGGCCATGTGGTTAGGATTTAGAAACAAGAAGGGGGTGGTCACTCTGCTGGGACTGTATTATAGACCCCCACATAGCCAGCGGGTACTAGAGGAGCAGATGTGTAGAGAGATTGCAGATATCTCTAGGAATAATAGAGTAGTATTGGTTGGAGATTTTAATTACCCCTTGTATTGACTGGGCCACCCAGAGTGTAAAAGGCCTGGACAGGGCAGAATTTGTCAACTGTGTCCAAGAAAGTTTCCTAAATCAATATGTAGGGGGCCCTACTCTGGAAAGTGCAACACTAGACCTCCTGTTAGGAAACAAGGTTGGGTAAGTGACTGAAGCGTCAGTTGGAGAGCACTTTGGGTCTTAGTTTTAACATAGTTATGGAAAAAGATAGGACAGGTCCACATGTTAAGGTGCTAAACTGGAGCATGGCCAATATTGGAGCCATTAGGCAGGATCTAGCAGCAGTTGATTGGGTGAGTCTGTTTGAAGGAAAAGGAACGACTGGCAATTGGGAGGCTTTTAAAACTGTCGTATCAAGAGTCCAGGGATGGTATGCCCCTGTTAGGGTGAAGGGAAAAGCTGGCAGGTTTAGGGATCCCTGGCTGACGAGGGATATTGAGGTTCTGGTCAGGAAAAAGAAGAAGGCATGCATTTGGTTTAAGCTGTTGGGCTCAAGAGAATCCCTAGATGACTATAAAAAGTGTAGGAGCACACTTAAGAAGGAAATCAGAAGTGCAAAAAGAGAATATGAGATGGGTCTGGCAGATAAAGTTAAAGACAATCCCAAGAGGTTCTATAGCTATATTAAGAGTAAAAGGGTGGCTAGGGAGAGAATAGGTCCTCTTAAAGATCAGCATGGCCATGTATTTGTGGACCCACAGGAGATGGGGGAGATTTTTAATGATTATTTCTCCTCAGTGTTTACTGAGGAGAGAATCATAGATGCTGAGGATATAACAGAAACAAATGGGCACTGCAGTAGTTCAAGAAGGCAGCTCGCCACCATCTTCTCTAGGGATGGGCAATAAATTCTGGTTAGCCAGTGATGCCCAAATCCCACAAATGAGTTAAAAAAAACAGGTGTTTGCAGCCTTAGATCGCATTAAGGTGGATAAATCCCCTGGGCCTGATCAAGTCCATCCTCGGAGATTGTGGGAGGCTAGGGAAGAAAGTGCATAGGCCCTTGCAGAGATTTTTGCTTCATCTTTAGCCACTGGTGAAGTTCTGGAAGACTGGAGGGTGTTTAAGAAAGGCAGCGAAGGCAAACCAGGGAACTACAGACCAGAGAGCCTGACATCAGTGGTAGGCAAGTTACTGGAGATGATACTGAGGGACAATATCAACCAACATTTGGATAGTCAAGGTCTGATTAGGATAGTCAGAATGGATTTGTGCGTGGGAAGTCATGTCTGACAAATATTTTAGAGTTTTTCAAGAGGTAACCAAGAGGATGGATGAGGGTAGGGCAGTGGATGTTGTCAATATGGACTTTAGTAAGGCCTTTGACAAGGTCCCACATGGCAGGCAAGTCGTGAAAGTTACGTCGCTTGGGATTCAGGGACAGCGAGCTAACTGGATTCAAAACTGGCTTGATGGTAGGAAGCAGAGTGTGATGGTTGAAGATTATTTCTCAGACTGGAGGCCTGTGACTAGTGGTATGCCGCAGGGGTTGGTCATCTGTTATCAACATAATTGATCTGGATGTGAATGTACAAGGCATGATTAGTAAGTTTGTGGATGATCCAATATTTGGAGGTATCATTGATAGTCAGAAAGGTTATCAAAATTAGAGAGGGATCTTGATCCAGGCAGGGAATTAGGTTAAGGATTGGCAAATGCATTTCAATACAAATAAGTGTGAGGTGTTGCATTTTGGGAAATCAAACCAAGGTAGGACTTATGCAGTAAATGATAAGGTCCTGAGGAGTATTGGGGAACAGAGGGACCTACGAGTACAAGTATATAGTTCATTGAAAGTGGCGTCACTCGTGGACAGGGTGGTGAAGAAGGCATTTAGCATGCTGGCCTTCATCGGTCGGGGCATTGAGTTTAGGAGTTGGGACGTTATGTTACAGTTGTATAAGTCGTTGGTGAGGCCGTACTTGGAGTAGTGTGTACAGTTTTGGTCACCCTGGTATAGGAAAGACATAGTTAAACTGGAAAGTGTGTAAAGAAGATTTACAATGATGATGCCAGGACTAGTAGGCCTGAGTTTTAGGGAGAGGTTGGCCAGGATAAGACTTTATTCTTTGGAACGTAGGAGAATGAGGGGTGACCTTATTGAGGTGTATAAAATCATGAAGGGCATAGATAGGATGAATGCATATAGTCTTTTTCCCAGGGATGGGGAATTGAAAACTAGAGGACATAGGTTTAAGGTGAGAGGGGAAAGATTTAAGAAGGACCTGAGGGGCAACTTCTTCACGCAGGGAGTGGTGCGTGTATGGAATGGGCTGCTGGATAGAGTGGTTGAGGCAGGTACAATAGCAACATTTCAAAAACATTTGGATAGATATATGGATGGAAAGGGTTTAGAGGGATATGGACCAAATGCGGGCAATAGGAATGAGCTGAGTGGGGACCATTGTCAGCATGGACCAGTTTGCGCCAAAGGGCCTGTTTCCATGCTGTATTACTCTATGACATGTATGTGATTCACAGGCATACACACCCAGACACACACACACATACACAACACGTGGACACACACGTCAATACACGCCTACATAGAAAGAAAGAACAAAGAACAAAGAAAATTACAGCACAGGAACAGGCCTTTCAGCCCTCCAAGCCTGCGCCAATCCAGATCCTCTATCTCAACCTGTCACCTATTTTCCAAGGATCTGTATCCCTTTGCTCCCTGCCCATTCATGTATCTGTCTAGATACATCTTAAATGACGCTATCGTGCCCACCTCTACCACCTCCGCTGGCAATGCGTTCCAGACACCCACCACCCTCTGCATAAAGAACTTTCCATGCATATCTCCCTTAAACTTTTCCCCACTCACCTTGAAATCGTGACCCCTGGTAATTGAGTCCCCCACTCTGGGAAAAAGCTTCTTGCTATCCACCCTGTCTATACCTCTCATGATTTTGTAGACCTCAATCAGGTCCCCCCTCAACCCCTCCGTCTTTCTAATGTAAATAATCCTAATCTACTCAACCTCTCTTCATAGCTAGCGCCCTCCATACCAGGCAACATCCTGGTGAACCTCCTCTGCACCCTCTCCAAAGCATCCACATCCTTTTGGTAATGTGGCGACCAGAACTGTAGGCAATATTCCAAATGTGGTCGAACCAAAGTCCTATACGACTGTAACATGACCTGCCAACTCTTGTACTCAATACCTCGTCCGATGAATGAAAGCATGCCGTATGCCTTCTTGACCACTCTATCGATCTGTGTTGCCACCTTCAGGGTACAATGGACCTGAACACCCAGATCTCTCTGTGCATCAGTTTTCCCCAGGGCTTTTCCATTTACCGCATAGTTCGCTCTCGAATTGGATCTTCCAAAATGCATCACCTCGCATTTGCCTGGATTGAACTCCATCTGCCATTTCTCCGCCCAACTCTCCAATCTATCTATATTCTGCTGCATTCTCCAACAGTCCCCTTCACTATCTGCTACTTCACCAATCTTAGTGTCATCTGCAAACTTGCTAATCAGACCATCTATACCTTCCTCCAGATCATTTATGTATATCACAAACAACAGTGGTCCCAACACCGATCCCTGTGGAACACCACTGGTCACAGTTCTTCATTTTGAGAAACTCCCTTCCACTATAACTCTCTGTCTCCTGTTGCCCAGCCAGTTCTCTACCATCTAGCTAGTACACCCTGGACCACATGCAACTTCACTTTCTCCATCAGCCTACCATGGGGAACCTTATCAAATGCCTTACTGAAATATATAAATATACCCACTCACGAACACAATGTTTCCAAACATCACATAATGACATACCATCATACGTTCACCTGGACATGTCTACATGATATGGATGAATCGGCAAATGTGTGCATACACACGCACAAACACACACACACACACTCTCAAACATACACACACAGATACACACACCTACACATGCACAAACACACACACACATGCACAAGCACACACACACACTCTCTCAAACATACATACACAGATACACAAACTTACACATGCACAAACACACACACGTACAAGCACACACACACAAACACACACACACACAGACACACATACACAGACACACACACATACACATACATACACAAACACACATACACACACAAACACACACGCACACAAACACACACACACATGCACAAACACACACAAACATACACGCACACACATTCACACATACAAACACACACACAGATACACACACACACACACACAGATACACACACTTACACATACACAAACACACACACACTCACACACACAGATACACGCACTTACACATACACAAACACACTCACACACATGCAGATTTCACAACAAATTATCAGTTTACTTTCAGAAGCTCTTTCTCCAATTTCCCTTCAGCTATGATCACATTGTGTGGCAGAGCAGACTCAAAGGGTTGAATGGCCTGCCCCTGCTCCTAATTTCTCTGTTTCCCTGAATTCAATGAGATCCGTCCTCAACCTCATGATGTTGAATGTGTAGCCAGGCTACATTCAGTGCTGTTGGTGACACCCACTGGGCAATTGTGGGAAAGCACCCATTCACGTTACTCCTCATTCCTAATTATTTTGTCACAGCCTGGAGGCAACAGAGTGGGGTCAGAAACTTATCATAGGAATTTACCTACACCAGTCTCCACCCAGCTACTAATGAATACATGAAGGAGAAGCTAGGGTTGGCTGCCAAGATACAATGGCACAGTAATGTGACATGTATAAAAGGGCGAGCAAAAAGCTTTCAATCCAGGTGCCAGATTTTACCTTCCGATGGGAGAAAGTGAACACCCAAATGTGAAGAGACAGGCTGCAAATAATGCAACAAGTGAGTTGTTTGATACATGTTCAATTGAAAGGGTTGCTGAGTAATTGGTAATTGGTATGTGTTAACATGAACAGATCAAGGCACTGTCTCCTTCTTGAAAATCATTGAAATGAAAAATGGTTTTTAAAAGTACATGGTTGACATTGATTCTGTTTCAATTTTTTTTGAGTTGTAATTGTTTCTGTTTTCTTTCTTTGCTTAATCAATTAAGTACGTCATTTGGAGGGAAGTTAGTTAATTTTATGATGTAATAGGTGTTTAACCAAATCCAATATTATTCAGAATTACAAGATAGAGCTAACGGAAAATTAGCTTCAAAGATCACCAAATCATTTGATGTTAACAGTGCTCGTGAGAGCATTAATTTTGTTATTTTGGAGTATCAAACGATATAGCACTTCTAAATTTCTGGTACCACAATTCACAAAAAAAAATTATTGTATTGAAAGTCTGAATGGCCAAGTCTGGTTCCGATACCTCATTCAGCCTTCAAACAGTCAGAGATGCCTAAAACTTCTAGAGATTTAAGACCACTGTCAGACATTCTCACTGAGCAATAAGTCAGATGAACATCAAGCAGCAACGATAGTGTCCACTGAATTGAACCACTACCACCCAATATCACTGACCCAAAGGTCATTTTCCCTCCTGAAACTGAAACAGTTCCTCACTCCCTTTGATCCCACGTGAGGAGACAATCGTAGCCCAGATGACCCCTCAGCTCTCCTTCCCTCTGCATCCTGTTATTGCAAGGACCAAGGGAAGGGAAGGGGAGAGACAGAGAGGAAATATCATGGTACCTGCAGGAAAGAAGGTTGACAGCTCACCGTTGGCTTCTTTGCCATTATTCATCCCATTCTGATTCTGAAAGAGAATTTTGCCCACTTCCCAGTGGGAGAGTTTACTGAGATCTGCCATTCCCTGTCCTTGCTTCTCCTGTCCATCTCTCCACACTACATTGGTGTCACTCATCACTCCACTACATAACATCCACTTTCACTCAGTTCCCTTGCTGCTTTTATCACGGAGCCTCAGAAGAGATGGTGGATGTGTTGCCCTGTGAGAGGCTCAGTAAATGTGACTGACATTGTCAGGAGTTCAGAAGAGTGAGAGATCTCATTGAAGCATGTGCAATTCTGAAAAGCCTTGTCATGGTAGACACTGAAACTTTCAAAATCTCCCCTCCCCCTACGGCATCCCAAAACCAGCCCAGCTCGTCCCTGCCTCCCTAACCTGTTCTTCCTCCCACCTATCCCCTCCTCCCACCTCAAGCTGCACCCCCATCTCCTACCGACTAACCCCATCCCGCCCCCTTGACGTGTCCGTCCTCCCTGGACTGACCTATCCCCTCTCTAACTCCCCACCTACACCCACCTTTACTGGCCCCATCCCCGCCTCTTCGACCTGTTTGTTTCCTCTCCACCTATCCTCGCCTCTATCCATCTTCTATTCGCCTCCCACTCTCTCCCTATTTATTTCAGAACCCCCTTCCCCTTCCCCTTTTCTGATGAAGGGTCTAGGCCGAAACGTCAGCCTCTCTGCTCCTATGATGCTGCTTGGCCTGCTGTGTTCATCCAGCCCTGCACCTTGTTGTCTCGGATTCACCAGCATCTGCAGTTCCTACTATCTCATGGTAGACACTGACAGGCTGTTTTATCTTTTTTTAATTCATTCACGAGATGAGGGTGTCACTGCCTAGGCAGCATTATTGCCCACCCCTAGTTGCCCAGAGGGCAGTTAAGAGTCAACCACATTGCTGTGGGTCTGGAGTCACATGTAGGCCAGACAAAGTAAGGATGGCAGTTTCCTTCCCTAAAGGACATTAGTGACCCAGATGGGTTTTTCCCGACAATCGACAATGGTCATCATTAGGCACTTAATTCCAGATATTTATTGAATTCAAATTCCACCATCTGCCATGGCAGGATTTGAACCCAGGTCCCCAGAACATTATCTGGGTCTCCAGCCTAACAGTCCAGCAAGAATACCACTAGGCCAATGCCTCCTCTTTCCTAGGCAATGGAGAACACAGGGGCACAGAATAAGACAAGCATTTTGATCTGAGGTAAAGAGAATTTTCTTTACCCGTGGAGTTGTGAATCCTTGGAATTATAGAGAGTGGTCAATGCTCCATGGTTGAATAACATGGGGATTGATGAGTTTAGTATCTCTGGGAGTGAAAGGATATGGGTAGTAGGCAGGTAAGTGGAGCTGAAACCCAAGATCAGTCTTGATCGTCTTGAATGGTAGATCAGGCTCAATGGGCTGAATGGGTTGCATGATGGCATATATTCCAGACCAAGCATCACTGTACTTTTAGGCCAGTTACACAACATTGTGACATTTACCATCTCATCTATAGTCACCCTTTCGGTGTAATGGTGCCAATGTAGTGTGCTCAGTCAGCTAGCCATATGGGCATAGGTAACATTAGTAATGACAGAATCCACACTATGTATGTGTATCACAGCCCAAGTAATTAGTTAGCATTGTAAAAAAACTTCAAGGCATCTGCCTTAAAACCAAATAAAAACCGAAAGAACTGAGGATGCTGTAAATCAGGATCAAAAACAGAAGTTGTTGGAAAAGCTCAGCAGGTCTGGCAGCACCTGTGCAGAAAAGATCAAGGGTCACCGGGCCCGAAATGTTAATTCTGATCTTTTCTTCAGCTTTTCCGGCAATTTCTGTTTTTGTGCCTTAAAACCAATTCAATCTTTGCCTGATATGTCACATAGGCTAACACATAGAAAGTTACACAGAGCTTCAATGTGCTGTCCCTAGTCCTTGTGTTCTTGTTTATGGTAAGACAAACAAAATCCTATAATGGAAGTTACAAGCTGGCAATTTTTATATTGGGCTTAATTCAAAAAATATCTGAAAACTGCAGGATTCTTGTGAAAACTCAACAGGATCATCCTTCAGGGACAGCACAGACTTACATCTGTGATCTGCTCTGTGTATGTGGCTTTAGCTCCACATTGAAGATCTTTACCCTTCCATCAAATTGGAATTAGTAACAAACACAGCATTGCCCGTGTTCCCTACAATGTGACATTAAATATGTTTTTCATTAAAAAAGGAATGAATTGCCCATTCGTAATTCACTGCCACAAACTTTACTTGTAAAGTTCTTGGTTGGCAACCCTTATGTCGTACATTACGATTTTGTGTTACCTTTTTTGACAACTTGAATCACTCAAATGGTTTCTAAAAAAATATATTGTGGCTTTTATTTTTACCAACAATTAAAGTTAACTTTTTCCAAAAAAATTTCAAAACAATAATAGGACTTCATGAACATGGCCAATTGTATCCAATGAATTATATTTGATTTGTTAATTGCTAGGTGAGAGGAGGTGATGGCCTAGTGGTATTATCGCTAGAGTGTTAATCAAGAGAACCAGATAATTTTCTGGGGACCCGGATTCAAATCCCACCATAAGCAGATGGTGGAATTTGAATTCCAAAAATATCTGGAATTAAGAATCTAACGATGACCATAAATCCATTGCCAATTGTCAGGGGACAACCCATCTGGTTCACTAAAGTCCTTTGGGGATGGAAACTGCCATCCTTACCTGGTCTGACCTACATGTGACTCCAGACCCACAGCCAATGTTGTTGTCTCTTAACTGCCCTCTGGGCAATTTGGGAAGGGCAATAAATGCTGCCTAGCCAGTGACGCCCTCATCCCATGAATGAATAAAGAAGAAAAACTAAATAAATCTCAAAGCCTTGAGCCGTCTACTTTAAAAAAAATGCATACAACAGCAGAACAAAGGTTTCAGTCTAAATTGCACACATTTAGCATATTTTGAAAATTTCCCAGAATTGTCGATCTGCATGTCCCTTGAGGATTCATCGATTGATTTTGTTTTAAACAACTAGGAAACTGACTGGACACGCAAGTTTTGACGATGCCAACAAACATGCTCTTCATTGCGAATGATTCACGAGCTGACAACACCTGGGATTACAGTGCTTATGTTTTCATTGTCGGCAAACAACAACTTATTTGTCAATGATAGATTATTAGAATTCATTGTTATAGGCAATGCAAACATGATGATTGCAATAACCTGATGACTATGACATTGAAATAAAAACAGAAATTGCTGGACAAACTCAATAGGCCTGATAGTATCTGTGGAGAGAATGAGTTAATGTTTTGTGTCCAATATGACTCTTTGGAACGATAGCACACCTGGTTAGCAATGCAGCATTCTGGTCATTTGTAATGAGACTAGCTAGGGTTATGGTTAAGGTTATGGTGTTGAGAACTCACTTTAAAACAATATCTTTCTCTATTGAGCAGCTTTTGAGATTCAAAGACATTTCTCATGTGAAGATATGGAAATTTCATAAATGATAAATCTTTGAATGTTTTAATATTTGTTTAAAAAAAGTGTAAGGAACAGAAACAGAGGATGGCCATTTGTCTATTTGAGTCATTCAACAAGATCATGGGTGATCTTCCACTTCAAATTCACTCTTCAGCAAAATCTCTTAATTCCCCCCAGTACCTAAAAACCAATCAATCTCTGTCTTGACCATACTCAACCACAAAGCATCACCAACTCCACAGAGAGAAGAAATCCAAACATTCCCTGCTCGCCTAGTGAAGGAATCTCTCCCAGTCTCAGTCTCAAATGGTCAACACCTTATCCTGAGAAAGTCAGAAGTCACACAACACCAGGTTATAGTCCAACAGATTTATTTGAAATCACAAGCTTTTGGAGCGCTACTCCTTTGTCAGGTGACGCTTCACCTGATGAAGGAGCAGTGCTCCAAAAGCTTGTGATTTCCATATAACCTGTTGAACTACAACCTGGTGTCATGTGACTTCTGACTTTGTCTAGCCCAGTCTAACTTCAGCACCTCCACATCATGACCTTATCCTGAGACTTACCTTCAGTAAAAAAATGATAAAGGAGGTTCCATCTATTCTTTCGGATGAACATAAAACCCCACTAAAACATTTTGAACAAAATGTTGTTAAATAAAAGGATTACCGTTCATAAATCACATTGCTGTTTGTAGCATCTTGATATGTGCCAATTGCCTGCTTTGTTCTCTACTCTACAAACAAATGAATACACTTCAGACATACTTATTTAAAATGGATTGATGGATTGAGAACTGGTAAACAGGCAGAAAACAGACAATGGGATTAAATTTTCAGGTTGATAGGCTATTGTAAGGATTAGTGCTAAGGCCCTAGCCATTAACAATAAACATCAATGGTTTGGATGTGTGGAGTACCTCATATTTCCAAATTTGAAGCCGATGTAAAACTATAGGCAAGAGTTAGGAGGAAAGTGGGAAGACTGCAAGGAGATTGGGAGAGACTAAGTGAGCAGGCAAAACTTCGGCAGATGGAATACAATGTGGGGAAATGTGAGGTTATCAACTTCAATAGAAGTAGAAATAGAGATTATTTCTTAAATACTAGGACTGTATTCACGGGAATTTAAATGAATGAGGAGAGAATCTGTTAGAAACTTCTAGAATTATGACAGGACTAGACAGGATAAACACAAGAAGGGTGTTCCCATTGACCAGGGAGTCCAGAACCAGGGGTCACAGTCTAAGGATATGGGGTAGACCATTTTGGACTGAGATGAGGAGAAATATCTTCAACAAGTGCACAGGGAGTCTGTGGAATTCTCTGCCACAGAAAAAGGTTGAAGCCAAACAATGATGGTTTTCAAGAGGAATTAAATATAATTGTTAGGCCTAAAGGGATTACAGGATATGGAGAGAAAGAGGGAACAGGGTTCTGAGTTGGATGATCTGCCATGATCATATTGAAGGACAGGATGGGCCTGATGGACTGAATAGCTTACTCCTGCTCCTAAATTCTATATTTCCATGTTTCTAAGTGGTGAGATGCTGGGAAGTGTTGAACTTCAAAGGGACTTCAAGGAATGTGCTCCTGAATCATAGAAAGTAAACATGCAACCACGGCAAGCAGTTAAGACGGCAACTGGTATGTTGACCTTCATTAGAAGAGGATTTAGATGTAGGAGTAAGTGTATCTTATTGCAATTCTACAGAGCCTCGATGAAACCACACCTGAAGTATTGTGTTTATTTTTAGCCGCCTTATCTAGAAATGGGAGTTATTTATCTCCGTTAGCTGGATGGCTGGTTTGCAATGTAGAGCAACACCAACTGCATGTGTCCACATCCTGCACTGGCTGAGGTTACCATTGAAGGACTCTTCTCCTGAACCTCTCCCCTCAACTAAGTCGAGGTGATCCTCAGGTTAAACCACCACCAGTTGTTTCTATCTAATGAGGGAGCAGGATTTTGCCACTATTTAGAGGAATATTTATCTTCTATAGTGGCAATGTAATGAGGGTTCACCAAATTAATTCCTATATGGAAGAATTATCCTAAAAAAAAGATTAAATGGACTGGTTTAGGGTTATATTATCTGGAGTATATTCTCTAGAGTTCAGATGAATCGGAGGTGATCTTATTCAATCTGACAGTGCTTCATAGGGTAGATGCAGGTTGGATGGGTCACCTGTCTGCAGGAGCTGGAGGGGGAGAGTCTAGATCCAGGGCACACAGCCTCACAGTAAATGGCAGGTTATTTAGGACTGAGCTAAGGAGGAATTTCAACTCTCAGAAGGTGGTGAATCTAGGAATACTCACACCAGAAGGCTGTAGACCGTCAGTCATTGAGTGTGATTGAGGCAGAGACCTGTTGTATGTGAGTTTGTATTGTTAATGTCTGAAGCATACGGTTAGCACTGCCCATTGTGATTATGTCATATAGACATTGTCAGCCTGAGTCAGTCAGGAAAGTGACATGAAAGTCAACAAGCATAAAGAGCAACACTCATAGAATTACACACATCACCTGGATAGGTTTGCAACAAAGCAATCAATTCCTTGTTGTTTATTTTGCACAACTCCCAAGATCTCTACAGATCAGAGGAGAAGATTATCCCCATCCACTAGAAAATTTATAGATTTCTAAACCACCAAAGGGTATGGGAATGGTGCAGAAAAATGATTTCTTATTTTTCAGTTGCATGACGTGGGCGTTACCAATTGGGCCAGCATTTATTGCCCGTCCCTATTTACCTTTGAGAAGGTGGTGGTGAGCTGCCTTGTTGAACCATTGCAGTCCACTTAGTATGCTTTGACCCACAATGCTGTTAGAGAGGGAATTCCAGGAATTTGACCCAGCGACACAGAAGGAACGATGATATATTTCCAAGTCAGAATGGTGAAAGGCTTGGAGGGGAATTTGCAGGTGATGGCATTCCCATGTATCTGCTGCCCTTGTTCTTTGAGATGGAAGTGAGTTTGAAAGGTGCTGTCTGAGGATCTTTGGTGAATTTCTGTAGTGCATCTTGTAGACAGTACACACTGCTGCTACTGAGTGTCGGTGGTGGAGGGAGTGGATGCTTGTGGATGTGGTGCCAATCAAGCGAGCTGCTCTGTCCTGGATGGTGTCGAGCTTCTTGAGTGTTGTTGGTGCTGCGCTCATCCAGGCAAGTGGGGAGTATTTAATCATACTCCTGACTTGTGCCTTGTAGATGGTGGACAGTCTTTTCGGAGTCAGGAGGTGAGTTCTCGCTGCAGTATTCCTAGCCTTTGTCTTCTGCTCGTGTTTCCACATTATTTACATGACTAGTCCAGTCAGATTCTGGACAATGGTAACCTCCAGGATGTTGATACTGGGGATTCAGTGACGGTAACACTATCGAATCTCAAGGAGTAGTAGTTAGATTCTCTCTTATTGAAGTAGAAAAATCAGTCATGATCTCAGTGAATGGTGGAGCAGATACGAAGGGCTGAATGGCCTCCTCTTATGTTATTATAACTGGCTGTACACTGCTTGACATTTAACTGAGATTTAAAAGCAGATGTTAAGTCTGAAAATTAAGCTCATTTGTAATGTTGCAGGTTTCCTGCAAAGGATGTCCAAAAATGGTAATAATGATGTGAATCCAGACTTGCTGAAGACCCCACCATCCTCCAGTCTGTGTCAGGATGGGGACAACCAAAAGTCTCTCACTGAACAGGATAGTGCCGATTTCTCCACCAGTTTCGCAGAAGGTACAATGCAGTGTCTTTTACCATAACAAGTTTCTGTCACTGGAGCAGAAAATGCTCAGAACAGAGTAAAAAGAACAGTAAGAATAGTTTAGTCAAAGTTTTCAAGATGTTAATGGGAGCTGATGGAGCAGATAGACAAAAACTATTTATGCTGATGGGAGGGGGCCAGAACTAGGAGACAGAGCTTAAAGGTTAGAACCAGAATCTTCAGGAATAGAGACCAGAGGATCATCTCCATTAAAAAAAAACCGAGGAGCAGGAGGCCATTTAGCCCCTCAGACCTGCTCTGACATTTGGCTCTATCATGGCTGCCTACCAATCTCAGTTTTCCTACACTCTCATCATATGCCTCGATTTTATTTGAATTTAGACATTCATTTATCTCTGTTTTGACTGCACACAATGGCTGAACTTCCACAACTTTCCGGGGTAGAGAATCCCAATGATTCACCACCCCCCATATTGAGGAAATTCCTCCTCATCTCAGTCCTCAGTGGCTTCCTCCTTATTCTGAACAGCTCCTTCCGCTGAATATCAATCATCAACATTAGAGGTTCCTCACAGATGAGGATAACTCTCTCTATCTTTAAGAGCGAGTCTGTAGGTGGCTGTACAGACCACTGAGGCTTTGACATGCTCTGTTACACTTGGGACAGAAGGTAGTTATTGGAGGGGGTGGGTGGGGCATCAGTGTGGCAGCATGCTCCTTACGCTGTTTTCTCATGGCTTCCGCTTTTTCCCAACGGCAACTCTCAAGGTTCTCAACCCCTTCCTGAATGCTCCTCCTCCACTTTGGACGATCTGGGGCCAGTGATTTGCAGGAGTCTGTGGGAATGCTGCACTTCACCAGTGAGGCCTTGAGAGTATTACTGAAGCACAGACTGCTCTTCATGGCCAGTCACTCGGGATATTACGCTTTGTCATTTAGCTGAGGAAATTCCAATCAATGAATAAGTGGTGATCGTTTTAATGACTGAACGCAATTTAATTTTACATTCTGCATTACCAGCTTTGTGGAATTCCTTTTCAACTACTTTACTGCAAATGAATATTTACTTCTTTAAAATATTTTCATAGATTTGCTGCCAGCTAAGAATGGTGAAGAACCCACTGTGCAGTTTTTAATGGAAGTTTTTGAAATTCTGCTGAATTACATCAGAAAGACATTCGACAGAACATCAAAGATTCTGGACTTCCACCACCCCCACCAGTTTCTCAAAGGAACTGAAGGTTTCAGTCTGGACCTGCCTGACCACCCAGAACCTCTCGAACAAATTCTCATCGACTGCAAAGATACATTAAAATACGGAGTCAAAACAGGTAACAAGAATTCTGTTCCAGGTCATTGTTGGTCTTTACTCTTTGATGGGATGTGGGTGTCACTGGCAAGGCCAGCATTTGTTGCCCATCCCTAATTGCCCCTGAACTGAGTGACTTTCTAGGCTATTTCAGAGGGCAGTTAAGAGTCAACTACCTTGCTGTGATTTTGATGCCACATGTAGGCCAGACCAGGTAAGGACAGTAGATTTCTTTCCCTAAGGGGCATTACTGAACCAGAGGGTCTTTACAACAATTGATCATCATTGTTATAGTGACCATCGATAGTACCAACTTAATAATTCCACATTTTTCCATTGAATTAATGCTCCATCAGTTGTTGTGGTGGAATTTGAACACATGTCTCCAGCACTTTTGCAACAACATTTACAGCACAGAGCAGGCCATTCAGCCCAATAGGTTCATGGTGGTGTTTGTGGTCTACAATCCTCCCACTTTACATCATCCAATTCTATCTGCATTCCCTTTCTTGTCAAATTTTCTCTCATATACACATCTCATTTCCTCTTAGATGTACTTTTACAGTTCACCTCAGTTACTCCCTGTTGTAGCTAGTTCCTCGTTCTAACTACTCTCAGGGTAAAGAGGTTTCTGATGAATGCATTGCTGGATCCATTAGTGAATAGTGTACTTTGATGCTGCTGTGGCCACTGACAAATGAAAATATAAGCTTTACAACTCCTTATAGAATCATAAAGACCCCTCAGGGGTTTCTGAAGAAAAGTGTTCCAGCTATTCAGTCTGTTCTGATAGCTATATCCTTCCCAGGAATGCTATCCCTGTTTAAAATAGTTAGTACTTGAAAGGGTTAACTGAAGTTAGCCTATCAGGATATGAAGGGCAGAAGGAACCTTGGTGATGCAGTGGTAATGTCCCCACATCAGAGCCAGTTGGCCCACGTTTAAGTCCCACTTGCTCCATAAATGTGTATTAAAATTTGAGCAGGTTGATTTGAGAATATCCAGATAGGACCATTCCTGGGAGGAGCTGACTGTTTTGTTTAGCGTATGTTGGAGCACATACCTGTAGCAAACAGTAATGTACACTTATAGAAACCAAAAGAACTGTGGATGTTGTAAATCAGAAATGAAAACAGAAGTTGCTGGAAAAGCTGAGTAGGTCTGGCAGCATCTTGTGAAGAAAGATCAGAGTTAACGCTCCAGGTCCGGCGACCCTTCCTCAGTGTGTGTGCTTCTATTCAGGCTGAGGCTGATGTAATGTTGGTAGCTATTAAATAATATGTCATAACATGAATCTAATAAGATTGAGCCTATGTTCAGGTGAAGACTGTGTGTGGGCATCCTTCCCCTAGTAACTTTGACAGAAACCAATAAGAAGCAATGGTCTCAGTGAAGCTACCCAAATGTTCTCAACCCTACCAGGCTAGCACCAACAGCTTTACAAACCAGCTTTGCCCATCCTCTCATGCCTTTATTATTTTTTTGATAATTCAGAGACCAGACCTGTACACAATACTCCATGAGTGTTCAATCCAAGATTCGAAACAAGTTTCAAAAAAAAACTTCTGTTTCTCAATTCTATTTCTCAAGAAATACACCTGGGGATTTTGCCACATTTATGCAGCTTTTTTTTTAACCTTCTTTATTCCTTTAAGTAACAGGTAAATCTGTGCCTGACAATTTCTATGTCACTGTATCACAGTTAGACTCTTAATGCTCAGGAATATCAGTCCTCCGTATAGCTCTGATACTATCATTAATGAAATTTATTTGCCAATCACATGCCTGTTCTGTAAGTATTTTCTTGGTGAGTACAAAGTAACTGAAGACACTGGGTAGAATTCTAGTTTTCTCATCCAACGATCCTCCTATACGCTGAGGTTTTTGTGCTCAGCTTTCTTAAGCGATGTAGAGCACAGTTGCTACATTTATGTGGCTTTCAAGTTACTGTCTTGATGTTGTACTCAATTGTGCAACAATAGCCTCACAAAATGCCACAACCATACAGTGGCATTTGGCCTCTGGTACATAAAAGCCAAACAATAATTTGCACAATCTGATACTAAAGCCGGCATAATTTCTATCTATCAGTCCATGCATACATTTTCAATTTAATGAAAATTGTGAAGGTTGACTTAGGCTCCTTACAGTGTGGAAACAGGCCCTTCGGCCCAACAAGTCCACACCGATTCTCACAACATCCCACACAGACCCATCCCCCTATGACCCCCTATAATCTACACATCCCTGAACACTACGGGCAATTTAGCATGGCCAATCCACCTAGCTGCACATCTTTGGACTGTGGGAGGAAACCCACACAGACATGGGGAGAACGTGCAAACTCCACACAGATAGTTGCCTGAGAGTGCCATCGAACCCAAACCCCTGGTGCTGTGAGGCAGCAGTGCTAACCACTGAGCCACCGTGCCACCCATGGCTCATTGATGCACCATGATAGATGAAGTTTGAAATTATGTTTAAACTCAATTCAAATATATAGACAGTGTGGCACAGTAAAACTTACTCAGGGCCCTACTTCAGAAAGGTTGAGAAGTTTAGGCCTATACTTTCTGGAGTTTGGAAGAATGAGAGAAGATCTAATTGAGATATATAAGATTCTAGAGGGAATGGACAAAGTAGACATAGAAAGAATGTTTCCCCTTGTGAGGCAATCCAAAAAGAGAGGTCATAGTTTTAGAATAAAGGGGTAGCAGATTTAAAACAGAAATGAGAAGGAATTACTTCTCTCAAAGGGTCATGAATGTGTGGAATTCACTATCCCAGAGTTCAGTGAATGCTGTGACATTGAGTAAATTTAAGGAGGAGAAGGACAGATTTTTAATTAGTAAAGGGTTGAAGGGTTATGGAGAGTGGGCAGGAAAGTGGAATTGAGGCTGAGATGAGATCAGCCATGATTGTATTAAATGGCAGAGCAGAATCAAGGGGCTGAATGGCTTACTCCCTCTCCCAGTTCTTAGGGTTCAACCTAATCGTGTCCCCTCAAATCAACAGACACGATATAAATTCAGCATTTCACCTCAGCATTCCCGTGATGAGGCAAAGCACTTTTACAATTGTACAGAAACACGCTGCCCACAATTCTCAGATCAGCATCTTTAAGCAATTAAGTGCAGCACATGAAGTGTCACTTCAAACTGAGCATCAAGTTAGTGTGGAGTAACAGTGTTACCGATGAAGACAATGGACAGGACATAGGAGAGCAACAATGACCATATTGACGTGGCAGAATACAAAAAGATTTTAAAAGGGCATCTTCCTCAATGAATGTATCCAAAGTGTACAAGTAAGCAGTTATCTCATATCAATAAAAAGCAACACAAAAGTTGGCAACAAGCTAATTGCCAATTCTCAATCAACCCTAACAGCCTCTATTTTAATAAAATCAACAAAATCTTACCCAATTTCCATTAACTCAGAATTTTAAAAGAACTTTCTAATGTGATTCTGTCCTTGATCATTCCAAACTTATTTAGTTCTGCGTCACATATGCCTCATACAAGCATAGTGAGTGTGCTGATTTAGACAGTGGTGAGGCAGACTTCACAGTGTAAGCTTTCAATAAAGATAAAATAAGACTGGCAACATTTCATTGAAGAAAATCTGTGGGAGTAAATTCTAAAGTCCCCTGGTGGAATGGGTGCAGCCCCTGAATCTGAGCCAGTGCTGTGTACATCAAACTCCAAAGTTCTCCACAACATCAACCCAGAGTTGATGCAAATGAAATAAGGAGGACTCTCGTGGGAATTCACCGTCATTGTAGCTATCGACAAAAATTCAAGCACCATCTGAAAATGAACAGCTTTCCTCGATAAAGAAAATAAAAAATAATTTACACAGCGGTAAATGTGTTCTGATCCTATACCAGCCTGACAGATTTACATCATGTTATGAGACTATGACCACAAACTTTTATTTTTAAAACACTTGAAGTGTGATATCCAATTGACTTATTAAGAATATTCCACAACTGTGAACAAACGACAATAAGTTTTATCATAAAATGTTAGAACAGCAATGCAATCTACAATGTCCAACTTATGTCTAAAACCCAGAATTAATATCTGATAAATATTATCATTGAATACCCCACACATCAAACAGCAAATATGAAGGAGACAGATTCCACAAATTTCTTTATTAAGTCCCTTCCCATATGTTAATGACATGGTAGGTCATCAAACCTCATAAAATATCACAAGAGATTACAATCCTTCACTTTTGCCAATCCAACCTTGAAACACCTTCACAAGAGCCATTCCATTATGAACTGTCCCACCACAGCTATCATTCTTGTCAATCACCCTCCTTTCCTGAATTCATACACCCTGGACTCTGAAATTGGCCTCTAATACCTGATTCACAAGCATAACTTTCGCTCTTCACTGACAACTAGCTTCACCAAGCCAAAACTGCCCCTGGATTTTTCTCTGAGCTCCAATCTTACACAGTGCATTGTGCAAATGCTTCTGGACTTCTCAAAACTTTTTGTAGCTGCACTGAAGTATTAATGTTTACAGGCTTCTTCTAGGCTTGACTCAAACACTTAGCTACCTACTAACTCCCTTGACATTGTCCCAACTGACAACACTGGAACACCCAACTGCACTTGATTTCCTACTTAGTGCCCTACTCAAAATCCATGTAGTGTGATATATATTTACTTAAGATTTTGGATTTTGTACAAGTGACATGTGGTTTTTGGTCTAGGCTGATTTAATGATTAAATTTTCAGTATTTCTGCAGCCAAGAGTATTTTAAAACCACGAGAGAGAGAAAGAGAGAGAGTTGATAATGGGAATGAGATTACTCTGGGAGAGCTTCACAAGCAGGTAGAGTAAACATTAAAGAACATTTGCTTGCCTTCAGTTAGATCAATCAGGAATTGATTTTTATTTTGCTTAGAAAGATTTTGATTTAGTTCACAGAAATCTTAGGTGGAGTTAGATGTTAAACATAGTTCCTCCTGAAGAAAGGAAATAAGTCAGAATAGTTTGCAAATAGGTTACATCAGTGTAAGGATGTTCATTTGAAATTTCCACGTAGGATTTTGTCGGAACTGGAGTGTTTAAGATTAGGGAGAGGCTAAATAGGCTGGGGACTTTTTTCTCTGGTGTCGGAGGCAGAGGGTGACCTTATAGAAGTTTATATAAACTCATGAGGGGCAATATGACCAGAAATGTTTAGTTAGAGATCTGAAGTGTTTATTTGAAGCTGAGAAAATCTAAGCTCAATTGTGTGAATATTCAAGGAAGAGGTCCTCAAACTCTCAAGGCTAGGAATTGAAAAAAGTCTGGAAATAGACATAATAAATACAGATGTGGTAGAGAAAGGAATTCTCTATCAAGTTTGATTATTGTAAAGTGATGGTGTTAGACTTACACTTTTAGTATGTTTCAAAATCTTTCAAATTGTTTTATATATAAATAGCTTGGTTTGTTATATTTGATCTTCATTTATTTTGCATAATAAATGTCTGTTTACAGTCAAAATTAGATCTGTAGCATTGTTTGCTTTTCAGTGAAAGTTTAGCCTCATTAAATGCAAGAAAATGATCTAAAGTCTAGTTTCAGTCTGGGATCTGATTTGTCTGGTAATAACATCATCTGGGGTCAAAACACAATTCCAGCTGCATTAATAGCAGTACAGGTAGGTGTAGCACTTCTGGTGTGGAATCTGCCTCTGTCTCACATCCTCACTTACCTTTTCAACTGCCTGAATCCATTGAGCTCCTCTCTTCAGTAACTCTGACGAAGGAGCAGCACTACAAAAGCTTGATTTAAAATAAACCTGTTGAACTATAACCTTCTGACTTTGTCCACCCCAGTCCAACACCAGCATCTCCACATTATTGAAAACCTTGCAACTCTTTGGCAACCCATTGGGCAGTACTTAATATAGTCACTCAGCAACTCTTGGGATTGAGTGTATTCTCAATGCCACAACTCACAGATGGCTGGTTTCTGCAGCACAATTGGATACAGCACGAAATGCATTTCATCACGAGTGATGTCTATATACTTTCCCTTTGCAGGTCACCCTCGCTTTTTCAATCAGCTCTCAAGTGGACTGGACATCATTGGGTTAGTAGGTGAATGGCTGACGTCTGCAGCGAACACCAACATGTAAGTGGTTGTTGCAAAATCATGTTGAAACAAGGAGAGGAATTATTGCATTAATGAAAACAAATCTTGCTGAAAATATTCAACAGGTCAGGCAGCATCTCCGATTGGGAAAAACAATCTTAGCATTGCAGGACTGGAAATGTAAATTTTTTTTCTTAATTCCACAGATGCTGCCCAAACAATTTCACCAGCTCTTTCTGCGTTTTTGGAAATCAGATTATCCGCACTCACAGTGATTTGCTTTTTAAGAACATATCTTAATGAGGCTTTGCAAATAGGAATAACATTCAAGACATTGATAACTGAACAGCCATAAATCTCTTACTTAGCTTCACTTTTTGTCGCACTGTCCTTCTCAACAAAGTGAAAGTTGCACAACCCCTCAATGGAATTTTTATTTAATCCACATTTTTTTACACTTTTTTGCACATTTCACTTTCTCAAGACTGCCAAAAAATTTTTGACAAGTGCATCCAAAACTTGTTGACTCCATTTCTCTGCTGGCATTTTAACACCTTCCCTCAAATTTCTGAATAAAGTCTTTGTTTGTTTTAATATTTCACTGGATGTGGGCACTGCTGACAAAGGTCACGATTTCTGACCCATCCAAACAATGCCCTGGAGAAGGTGGTGGTGAGCTACCTTCTTGAACTACTGCTGTCCAGGTTTTGTAAGCAAACTCACAGTTTGGGAAGGACTTCCAGAATTTTGACCCAGCAAAAGTGAAGAAGCGATGATATGGTTCTCAGTTCGGGTGGTGTGTGGCTTTGCGGGTGGAGGAGGTGTTCCCTTGCACCTGATACACTTGTGATAGACAGGTGATAAAGATCACAGATTTGGAAAATAAAGCTGGAGGAGTTTTGAGCAAGTCATTATGGTGTGTCTTGTAGATGGTACACACTGCTGCTACTGTACAGTGAGTGTATATTTAATGCGGTAAATGAGATACCAGTGAAAGGAGTTGCTTTCTGCTGGTTGGTGCTGCGATGGTGCAAACAGATGACCAATGCTGGTCACATGACCAATGCTGCTATCATGTTGCATGAACCAAATGGTCTCTTAGCCACTTTTATGTCAAGTTTTAGCCACCATCCTCCTTTTAGGTGGGACTATAGGCCTGCTTTGTTTAGTGTTGCACAGGGAAAGCATCAAGTCATCTAATGCGAAGTGACTCATGTCTTAAACACAATGTAGTTGATTACATGATAGCAATCAGATACAAGTCACATTGGTCTAATAGACATTGTTACTGAGACTAGGAGAGAGACGTCAAGATCCAGATCTATTCTCCAGCTAAGTCCATAAGGATGGTGACCCTGTTATAGGAATGACGTAGTTAAACTGGAAAAAGTGCAAAGAAATTTACAAGGATGTTGCCAGGACTAGTAGGCCTGAGTTATAGGGAGAGGTTGGCCAGGATAGGACTTTATTCCTAGGAGAATGAGGGGTGACATTATTGAGGTGTATAATATCATGAGGGGCACAGATACGATGAATGCACATAGTCTTCTTACCAGAGAATGGGAATTGAAAACTAAAGGGCAAAGGCTTAAGGTGAGAGGGGGAAGATTTAGGAAGGACCTGAACGGCAACTTCTTCACACAGACAGTGTTGCGTATATGGAATGGGCTGCCAGAGAGGTTGAGGCAGGTACAATAGCCACATTTTAAAAATCATTTGGATAGCTACATGGATGGGAAAGGTTTAGAGGGCTATGGACCAAATGTGGGCAACTGGACCTAGCTGAGTGGACACCATGGTCAGCACGGACCAGTTTGGGCCGAAGAGCCTTTTTCCATGCTGTATTACTCTGTGATATCATCAGATTGGGTGGAGCCTAATGCAGTTTTCTGCATTAACCCTTTTAGATTATTACTTTATAAAGACAATAGTCGGCTCCTTGTTGTTGGAATTGCATTCATCAAAGCAAGTGGGGAATATTTCATCTCATTCTTGACTTATACCTTAGAGCTGATGGACAGGCTTTGGGAAGTCAGGAGGTGAGTTACTCGCTGCAGAATTTCCAGCCTCTGTCTGGGAACTGGTAATGAGCTGGAACTAACATGAGTGGCAGCTCACCCTAACCTTTGCATCATGAAGACAAGGAGTTTTCAACTCTTTCACTGCCAATATCAGTTTTCAAGCTAGAACGTTATAAATCACGTATTTTTATTTGTCCACATGAGAATTTAGCCAGCGTTTGTTGCTCATCCCCAAATTGCCTTAATTCTTGAATCATAGCAGTTTATTTTGTTTGGGTGCACCCACTGTGAAGGAAAAGAGAGAGTTCCAGGATTTTGACCCAGTGACAATAAAATGTTGCCAAAGTCCAACCCAGATGAAGAGTCATCGGGACTCAAAAAGTTAGCTCACTCTCTCTCCAAGGATGCTGCCTGACCCTATGTGATTTCCAACATTTTTTGTTTTCAGTACCGATTTTCCAGCACTTGCTGTAATTTGCCTCTACACTATCTCAAATTATTGCCTTTTTGCAAGAGATATATTTTGAGAATTTTGTTCTTGAATATCCTTGAAACATGATTCTATCAGAATAGCTTTACCTGCTGAACATCCTGTAGTTTAACTTCAGTGAGTTTATCAATATTTCAGTGCCTCATAGTCTCCATGGTGTTTCTTTTCCTGACTTTGAAACAGGTTCACATTTGAAATTGCTCCAGTGTTCACCATCATGGAGGAGGTGCTTTTGAAGAAAATGTCTACAGTGCTTGGATGGTCTCATGATGAAACTGATGGGATTTTCTTACCTGGTAAATTTGCCAGAAGGCTTACAATTATGCATGTCGGTTAGCTCAGTTTCCTAAAATGTAATGCAGAGTGATGTTAACAGCAGGATCTCATCTCCATTCTGACTGTTGTAGCTCATGAGGGATTTGCCTTATATGCCCATGTTTGATAAGGAGTAGTGTCCCTCAAGTTGTAGGAACAAAACTGTTTAATGTAGCGAGATCCCATGAAACTTCAAGGATTTTGACGATTTACTGTTACTCCAATTATTAGTGGGGATTTCCCCAATAGGATGTCACAATCCAAATGTATTTACCCACCACCTGCACTGATGTGCAGTCCCAGAAGACTTACTGTACCTACCTTCCCACTTTTACCTGTCTTCCAGGAGTTTATGAGGCAGTTGAAGAGTGAATGAAATTATCAGTTTTGCAATTTAGAGTCAATCGCTAGTGGGCAATTATGTTAATTTAAAGCAACTATTTTCATCAGGAACATTTGTGGTAACTTGTCTTTTCAACGAGATACAGACTGAGTGGTGATGTCACTATAGTAATCCCCAGGTTGGGGATTGGTTTACTCAGTTGGTTGAACAGTTGGTTTGTGAAGCAGTGTGATACCAACAGCATGAGTTCAATTCCCATCACCAGCTGAGGTTACCATGAAGGGCTCTCCTGCTCAACCTCTCCCCTCACCTGAGGTACAGTGGCCCTCAGGTTAAACACCACCACCAGTGGTCTCTCTCTAGTGAGACAGCTGCCTTATGGACTAGTAAGACAATGGTGACACAGCAACAACAATCCCCAGGTTACTGCTTTGGGACCAGGGTTCGTATCCCACTATGGTAGCAAGTAGAATTTGATTTTTAAAAAACCTGGAATTAAGGAACAGTGGCTAGTCTAATGGCAACTATGAAGCAATTGTCACAAAACCCATCTGGTTCACCAATGCCCTTGAGGGACGGAAACCGCCACCCTTACCTGGACTGGCCTATATGTGACTCCAGACCCACAGCAATGTCGTTGATTCTTACTTGCCCTCTGGTTAATTAGGGATGAGCAATAAATGCTGGCCTAGACAGTGATGCCACCATCCAGTAAACAATTAAATACAAAACCTCAAACAATCTTTCACTGACCACAACAATTTCAGGACTACATTGTATATCTTCTTGAGTACAGTGTGAGCCACTTCCTTAACCAGTTTTACACCTAATTTCTTACAGCAGTTAACTTCCACTATCCACATATGCAAGTGTGTAAAATGGGAGCGTGCCTCCCTTGCATTCCAGACCAGGTCTCCATGCAAATATTAACCTTCCATTTTTCTAGAATATTCCGAAATGAGACAGAGTTTGGCTTTAGACGTTAGTTTTATTCTATGGTACGTGAGACATGGTAAAATGGTGAGGCTGATCACTTTCTTAACATGGTGTGACTTCTGTTCACAAACTATAACGAAAATGGAGAGTGCTCTGGATAGATCGTCCAATTCTGAGTCAGACGGCTGTCAATTCAAGTCCCAGTCTGGGATTTAATCATACAAGTCAAGGCTAGCTCTTCACTGTAGTGCTAAGGAAATGCTATTTGGTCCAAGGGTGTTCTTTTTCAGATGAAACTTTAAAACAATGCTCTGTCTGGTGAATATAAAAGATCCCACAGCAGTTTTGACTTGATAGAGATGTACAAAATGATCAGAGGTATAGATAGAGTGGACAGCCAGAGACTTTTTCCTAGGTTGGAGTTAGCTATTACGAGGGGGCATAGTTTTAAAGTGAGTGGAGGTAGATATAGGGGAGACGTCAGAGGTAGGTTCTTTACTCAGAGAGCGGTCGGGGCATGGAATGCATTGCCGGAGAGGGTAGTGGAGTCGACCTCATTAGGGGCATTTAAGCAGCTATTAGATGATAATATAAGGTAGGGGTGGAGGTTAGATAGACCTTAGGTTTAGGGTAAAAGTTCAGCACAACATCATGGGCCGAAGGACCTGTATTGTGCTGTACTGTTCTATGTTCTATGTAGTACTTGGAAGAAGAGAATACCCTATGCTGTCCTGGCTAATATTTACATCTCAGTCAACATCACAAAAACGGCTAGTCTGGGCATGGTCACATGGCTATTTGTTGGAGATGGCTGTGCATAAACTTGCTTTGCACTCCTTACATTACAAAGCGGCTACAACCTAAAAGCACATCATTGGCAGTAAAGTTCTTTGGGATGTCCTATAGCTTTGAAAGGCAGTCTATAAATGCAAGGCTTTCTCTTGCCTTCACAGAAAAGTCCCATCTCTCTGCATTCTTTTCAATCCTTCTGCCCCCTTGATGTCCAACGCCAAAATTGGTGGATGTTACAGAGCTAGGTTTGTGTAAGGTGGCTGTAGGAGGATTTGGACAGTCTTAGAGAATGAGCAAGACAATGACAGATGGAATGTAGTGTGGAAAAATATGAGGTTATCCACTTCAGTAACAGAAACAGCTGTACAGAGCAGTCCTTAAATAGCAAGAAGTTGGAAGGTGTAGATGTACAATAGAGATCTAGGTGTCCTTGTCAATAAATCACTGAAGACTGACATACAGGTACAGTGAGCTAATGGGAAGGCCAATGGAATGTTAGTCTTCATTGCAAGACGATTTTAGTACAGGAATAGTGCTTCAGTTGTATACGAGCTTGGTTAGACTATACCTGGTGTACCGTGTGCAGTTTTGGTCTCCAGATCTCAGGAAACATAATATGGAGGTGCCGGTGTTGGACTGAGTGGACAAGTTTAAAAATCACACAACACCAGGCTATAATCCGACAGGTTTATTTGAAAACACTAGGTTTCCGAGCTCTGCTCCTTTCTCAGGTGTAGTGTGGAAGAGGAGGTATACCGACCAGAATGGAGTTCTGAGTAAGAGTCACCAGACCTGAAATGTTAACTCTGATTTCTCTCCACTGATGCTGCCAGATGTGCTGAGCTTTTCCAGCAACTTCTGTTTTTGTGCAAACCTTTGGAATTCCCTTCCACAGTGGGTTGTGAAAGCTCAATCTTTAAGAATGTTTAAGGTAGAGATTGATAGGTTTCTAATTACCAGTGACATACAGGATTATGGAGGTGTGTCAAAGGCATTGAAGCATTTGGTCAACAGTGATTATGTTGAATAGCAGAGCAAACTCGATGGGCTAAATGACCTACTAATGCTCCTATGTAAGTGACTTTCTGAGTGACTAGAGGTAGCAAACAAATGATCCATTCTGAGAAAACCTCATTCATTTTCAATCAATGATTTCCTCAATAGGAGCATCTTGTCATAGTTAAAATCCAAATCTTCCTTGTGCTAAACGTATCAAGCTGTGCCACCAGAATATATCTTTCACTAAAACGTTCCAATGGGTAAAAGATAAAATTGAGTTCACGTATTTGTCTGAATGAAAGATATCTGAATGTATTTAAAGTATGCCATAAATAGATTATATCTAGAAATATTCTAAATAATTATTACCAAAAATATACCTCATCATATTAATGTGTATAATTTAAATGTGCCACAATAAACTTCAATAAATATTCCGAAATAATAATTTATTAATCAAGGTTTCCCAAAGAGTAATGCAATCATTTTAAAAAAAGAGTGAACCATAGTATCTTGCTGACAATGTCTGGCAGCATTTTAACAGATTTACTTGCAAAGGTAAATGATTTATGTTTGTTTTTTTTTATTAACTTCTAGACATTATATGCACAGGCACTTCTCAATCTGAGAGGCACAGTCATCAAAGTGTTAAAGAACAGAATTGGCAAACCTTTTGAATAATTTCCGGTCTTTCAAACAAAATTGTAATATTGGAGGAAATTGGCCATAGGGAAATGAGATGACAATATGAACACAAGAAATAGGAGCAAACAGAAGCCTGTGGGAGAGTCTAAATCCAGATGGCATGATCTCACAAAAAGGGGTTACACATTTAAGACAGAGATAATGAGGAATTTCTTCTCTCAGAGAGTTGTGAATCCATGGAATTCTTTACCACAGAGGGCTTTTGAGTGTGGAATATTCAAGGCTGAGACAGACAAAGTTTTAACCCATAACGGAATCAAGGGTTATAGGTAAAGGTAGGAAAGTGGAGTTGAGGTGAATCAAATCAGCCGTGATCTCATTGAATGGTGGAACAGACTCAATTAGCTGAATGGCCTAATTTTGTTTTTATATCCGCTCTTCTTCCACAGGACTGTAAGATTGTAGACAATTTACCTGAAGCTCACTTCCCCATCCTATCTGTTGGATCCATAACCTCCAAAAAAGACTCTTATCACTCTCAGTCTTGAATACAAACGATAGACCCTATGTTGTCATCTCAGGCAGAGAAAGTACCTTTGATGTTTAAAACTTTGAAAAAAGTTCAGAATCTATTTCCCTATTGTTGTCATCAAAGTCAGCTGTGTGAGCCTGGAAGTAGAATGGTGGCATCAAAACCAAATATGACTGATTGTAAACATATCTTAGTTTCTGTTTTACAGGAGGGGCCATGTCAAACATGTACAGCATCTTGGTTGCTCGTTACAAGCGCTTTCCTGAAGTGAAGACTCAAGGTGTAGCCAGCTTTCCCAGGATGGTCTTATTTACTTCAGAACTTGTAAGTATTTTCCAGTCAGGAATACAAAGTCGAACTAGGAGCTTATCTAAAAAGGGTCGCTTGTTCATTCTTACATTTTGGAATCAAATGATAGCACCCAGACCACAATGTAAATTGGTCTGCCTTCATGTGAATACCGCTATTTGTTTCTTTAATTTTTGTGACGTAGGCATTGATGACAAGGCTGGTCTCTATTGTCCATCCCTAGTTGCTGTCAGGTAGTTGGCGAGCCATTTACAAGTAAGAGCCATTCAAGAACGCAGCTAAGCAATAAACAAGCTCATGTGTGCTTAGAGTCACATAAGATTTGGAGCAATAGCCAATGACTTTCTAGTCCAATAACATAGCCACTACACTACCATTCCTGCTTTTACTCACAAATCATGGGTAGTATAAGCGAGGATGTGACCATTTCCAACAGGTAAAAGCTCTTGGCGACTTCTTCACTGACAGTCACTGGGTGGTTTTTACATTTTAACTGATCAGGAGGCTAACGCACTCTCTGCTGTGCATTGGCGTGTTTTCTTGTTGCCTGCTCTTCACTGTAATGGTGTTGCCAATTGCTTTGGGAAAATGCATCTCCTCCCTGTCAGGGTTCTGAAAGTTTTTTGACAATTGCTAAACAGGAGAAGATTAATGATCAAAACTAATATCGATGGCTGTGAGCAGCAATTGGGAATTGTTAGCAATAAAGAGGTTGACTCCTTTATGTTTAAATAAACCATGTATTCATTTCACTTTGCACATAAATTCGAAAATTATAGTTTCCGATTACCTAGGAGATCTGTGTTACATGTATTCAGGTTAGATTCCCAGGATCAACAGATGGAAACACTGCATTATGCATCTTCACACTGTCTAAATAAGTCCAGTCCTGGTGCCACGTTAAGTTAATCAGATAACTGCAAACTATTGGACTGACGTGCAACAAATCCTTCAAGCAATGTGACATGGGATTTTGCGTTTTCTTTGAGCCTGCCCTTCACAGCTCAGAAGAAGATTGTGATGATTGAAGAAGATATTTTGACTGAGATAGGGAGTCTCGCCACACTTGAAAATAGTTGTCAGTGAACGTGTTACAGGCTTTGCTCAGTATTGTTCACGGATGTTAGTTTTTGAGATTCAATAACGACTCTTTCTGATTTTCCTTAGGGCCACTATTCAGCTATGAAAGGTGCTATGGTACTTGGGTTTGGTACACACAGTGTGATTCCAGTAAAATGCAACAACAGGTAATAGCCATTAATAAATTAATAGTACTCACTCTGCCTACAATTATAAAGTAATCAATAATTAGTCTACTCTGCATTTTAGTCATTGAAGAATTGGAAGCGGTATCATCAGTTTCTGAAACAGTTTATAGCACATAAAACCAACCATGTTGGCAATTACAAGTTCACAATGCTTCCATTCAATTAATATAGTACAGACATTTTCAAAACACTTTAAAATCATTTTAGCAATTTAAAGCACCTTTAATGGAATAAATGTTGCAATTTTTGAACAGACACATAACCTTAAAAAAATTTGAACTTCCTATTGATAGCTGAAAGGATGACTGAAGAAAGTTTCACAACTTAAGAGAAAACTGAAAGATCTGTGGATTCTGTAAATCAGAAACAAAAACAGAAATTGCTGGAAAAGTCCAGTGGGTCTTGCAGCATCGGTGGGGAGAATCACAGTTAACATTTCGAGTCAAGTGACTCTTCCTCAGACCTTTCTAAGGAAGGGTCACTCAACCTGAAACATTAACTCTGATTTCTCTCCACAGATGCTGCCAGCTTTTCTAGCAATTTCTATTTTGGTTCACAACTTAAGAATTTTACTGTAATAAAGGACTACAAGGACCATTGACTAGACAATATATTTATTAGCAACTTACACTGTAAATCACAAAACAGAACTTCTCATTTTTTCTTTCAGTACAACCAAAATAATACTTTACAGACATATGTTAAGAAACATTAAAAGTTAAGACCGTTGCATCTTGAAACACCCTCTCTCTCCCTTACCCTCCATTACAATCTGCTGCAGGCCTTTGATGGGAATTGTTGTGTCTTCAGGTCACCAGTCCATCAAATCAAAAGAAATCAGAATTGGAGCAGACCGTTCAGCCCCTTGAGCCTGCTCTGCCATTCAATAGGATCATGGCTGATCCAACATCCCTCACATCCCCTTTTCTGCTCTCTCCCTCATAATTCTTGATTCACTATTGAGCAAGAAACTACCTATCTCAGCCTTAAATATACACAAGGATTCTGCCCCCACAGATCTCTGTGGCAAGGAACGCTACAGGCTCGCTACCCACTGAGAGAAGAAATACCTTGTCATCTCAATCTTAAATTGACATCCCTTTCTTCTGAGACTATGCTCTCTGGCCCTAGACTCTTCCATGAGGGGAAACATCCTCAGCATTTATCCTGTCAAGCCCCTTAAGAATCCATATGTCTCAATGAGATCACCTCTCATTCTTCTAAACTCCAGTGAGTAGAGTCCCAACCTGTTTAATCTTTGCCCATAAGACAATCCCCCCTCACCAGGGATCATCGTAGTGAACCTTCTCCAAACTGCCTTCAATATCTGTCCTTAAATCAGGGGACCAAAACTGCTCACAATGCTCCAGATGTGGTCTCACCAGCACCTTGTACAGTTTCAGTAAGATTTCCCTACTCTCATACTCCAACCCCCTTCAAATAAGAGCCAACATTCCATTTGCCTTCCTCAATACCTGCTGCACCTGTGTGCTAGCTTTCTGTGTTTCGTGCACAAGTACCCCCAACTCCCTTTGTGCTGTAGCTTTCTGCAGTTTTTCTCCATTTAAAAAATACTCAGCTCTTTTGTTCTCCCTTCCAAAATAAGCAATATCCTGTTTTCCCACATCATATTCCATTTGCCAATGTTTTGCCCACTTAACCTACTTATATCTCTCTGCAAACTATTTCTATCTCTCTCACAAGTTGTCTTTCCATCTACTTTTATGCTGTCTGCAAGTCTGGCTACAATGCACTTACTTCCTTCCTCCAAATCATTAATATGTCAATCTCTTCCGAGTTCTCTCTATTCAACTTTTCCAAAGTTCTTCATCACATTTGCTGAAATAACTGCACAGAGGCCAGTATCCTGTAACTAACTCATCCTTTATTTATGCATAGTAAACTGACTTGGACTCAATCCCCAGAACTGAGGAGATTCTAAATCCCCTGTTTATATTGGCCAACCAGGACTTCCTGATTGGCCCAGGTAAAAAACCCCAATCAAGGATCTTGTAGTCAACAAGATCCGCCTGGTTCCAATCACTACAGTTGCCTTCAGGAAGCATTTCCAAACATTTTTGAATGTAAAGAGTGTATTCTCATTGTTTGTTATTTATTTCCCTTCAATTTGTTTTATTTTGTCACTGTCATCTCCAGAGGCTTATCTATAAGAATGTGTTCCATTTTTGTCTTGACAATATTCCTTTGATGTCCCTTGGGCATCTTACTGCATTAACCATGCTATTAAATGCAAATAAATAAGTTGGTTCTATCCCTCAGATAACATCAGAATAATACTAAGAAAACTGAGTGCTCCAGCACACAGGGGATATTAAATTGCATGGTGTAAATAAGAACAAAATAGGTTTTTCAATTAAATATTTATATTTGTCTAATCATGCTCACAGAGGGAAGATCATTTCAGCTGAATTGGAAGCAAATATCATTGAAGCTAAGCAAAAGGTTTCTGCCTTTTAAAAATCTGAGGTAAAATCCATTATCTTTTTCCCGACTCATTGAAATATGAAAAACTGAATTTCGAACAAAGATTACCTTTCCATTTAGTTCATGTAAATACTATGTACCTGTGTTTTGTCACTGAAGGAGTAATTGGCCCTTTATTTAATATTACTGAAGCAAGTGAAGGTAGTGGGTGTGTTTAATTTGGCTGTAAATGATTTTGTGCAATACGATTTAGGCGATGGAGTAAAAAGCTATGTATCTTTTACACTTTCCAATTAGATTCTCTGTAGCCAAGCTGGGTAGTGTAAATTACTTCAGTCATCAAATTAAGGTACAGAAATTGACAATCGATGCGCAAGACTAAAAGAAATTGAGCTTCCCAATTTAGGGAAATACATTTCCTAGGGAAACGATGGATAGTCCATTCCTTAATTATGCAACAGCCAACAGACAAAATGCAAACAACATGATTTTGATGTGAACAGCATTGGAGGAAAGGTAACAGGACATGGAGAAGGTTGATCTTTAGATGGAGGGTAACTAGCTGTTGTTCAGTTTGAAGAAGGGTTGGAGATGGAGTACCTGGGGGTCACTATGAGATTCTTTATTTTTGTCAAAATAATTTACACTGGAGAAGACAGGAAGGAAATTTGTTGCTAACACAAAGTCAAGAGTTTTGATGAAAAGTGGGGAGGACAGGGGAAAGTTATCAAAACAGGCAGAAGCAATTGAATGTGAAGTAATATCTTCTGGGAGGAAAGGTAAAGAACAGAATTATATACTTAACTGCAAAATTTACTGAAGGGAGTGGATGGACCTAACAGTCCAATTACACAAAGTGCCTGAAAATGCAAATGCAGCAGATAAAGTCAGAAATTATTTTTATTCTTTGAACTGATGCAGTTGGGAGTGGACTGTGAGAAAGAAAATGTAATTTGTCATAAGGCTGTGTTGAAAGTAATGGAAATGTTGGAAGATGTTTGGATTATCAAGCCCCTGACTGTGCCCACTATTTCGCTAGCCTTTCTGCTCATTTCTTTCATTTTTTAACATACCAGTGATTGATCCTCTTCTGTCTTCAACGTCCAATCAAAATTATAAGGTTGTCAGTTCAAGTCTCTCTCCAGGACTTGATGAGTAAAATCAAGCTGACTGCCCAGAGCAATACAGAGGGAATACTTCACTGTCAAAGGTGCCACTTTTGTCAAGATCCCAGTGGAGGAACTGGACATGAGTTTTCTCAAGTGAACCTCAAATAAGAAATTGCCAACAATATTTCACTATTATAATCTTTTACTTTGTGATGAGTCGGAACCAACACAAATTAAACATGAGTTAACAGGTAAGTGTTATTTCAGACAGAAAGGTAAACTGCAGTTTAGTTTGTCAGTACAGCTAAAGTACATTGTACAGAACCACAAGCACTCACATCACTCCTGGAAGATATATGGCACTCCATGAAATTACAAAGGTCTCTAACTTTGCCTCTGTTTGATACATTTCTTATTTTCCAACTCAGTTGATTAGGGTTGTATTCACCAGCAGTCACTCATAAAAGAAAAAGGAATGAGAGTGGCATAGATTTAAACTGTTGTACAAATGAAACAAGGGCAGTATAAGAAAAGAAACCTTTTCCACACGGTCTGTAGTTAGGGTCTGGAATGCAGTGTCTGGAGATGCGATGGAGACAGATTCAATTGTGGCTTTCAAGAGGGACATTGGATGATTATTGGGACAGAAATGGTGTGCAGGGATATGGGAAAAGGAAGGAGATTGGCACTAGGTAGTAGGACTGGGTTAGGTACTAGAGCTGGTGCAGGCACGATAGGCTGAGTGGTTTCCTTCTGAACTGTAACAATTTCGTGATTCTGTGATTATCTAGTCAATGTCCTTGGAGTCACATAAATGGTGCACATTGACAGAATCTCCTTATCCACGTTCCTGAAAATCAAGATGGGACTAATTTCCAAGAATTTCCTTTATCTAATCTTTTTAACAAACCACACTAAATGATCTAGTCAATGCTGGCAAAATTGAAGCAGCAGCTATAAAAATACTCAAATAACAATCCTGCTCTGATTCTGTCTTCAAATTTCTTTCCTGTTTGGCTGTATTACACAAACACAGTTCTTTATAAATATAACTTCTTGTTTCTCCCACCTCCTTGGCCTACAGCTTTGCTTTGTGTTTGACCACATGACTTCTGTATATTAAACTTTGCTCCCTGTTGGTACTGCTTCCAGGTCAAGTGTTACCAGTTCATATGAACATTTGTTTATTCAAGAAAATTACAATTGATTCCTTTAAAAATGAAACACATTCATAAAAGTGACTTTTAAACAAGCTTAACACTAAAAGCAGATTCCACAAGCGGTTGATCAAATTAAAATTTTCCTTACTGTACTTCCTCTGGGTCAAAGGTCATCACAGTTCTCAGCTAAGACATTAAACGAAGGTCCAATCTGTTTTGTCAGGTGGACATGAAAGATCCGACAGCTCCGATGTGGAGAGAAGCTGATAAGTTATTCTTAGTTCCTAGTTAAAAACCATCATGGAAATATTTCCATCCTGAATATTTCTGTTTGTCTTGTTGTGGGAACGTGCTCTGTCCAAGTTGACTGCCACATTGATTACATTACAACAGTAATTACACCTCAAATGTACATTGGATGTAAAATGCTTAGGAGCATCTAATGGTTATTGTGAAAGTTGCCATATAAATGTAAGTCCTTCTCTTTTTTTCAACCAATCAGCTTCCCTGTTCACCAAACCAATGGCTCCATTTCCAAAAACCGACAATATGGTCCCATCTGTAAACACCTTTCTCTTACATCATGTCCAGAGTGATACTTTTCTCTAGAGCAGTGCTTCCCAAACATTTTCCCACTGAGTCCCTGTTTCGAAGCTCTAAAATTGTCATGACCACGTCCCCCCTCCCCACCAGCTCAGTGAAAGCTGTGAAAACCAGGGTGGGGGAATCCTGTCAGAATATCAAGGTGGTGAGAGGTGTGGGGGGCCTGTGAGAGTGGGTACTTGTTAGAGTGGAAGCATTACATTAATGACTCAGTCAGAGCTCCACAACACCATCACTGCTTCAGAGCTTACAACTATAAAGTTACAGCTTGAGACATCCTCTTTTGGAGTCCTGACCATGACTCTGGTAAGCCCTGCTATAGGATATCTTTGCTCACTTTAACTTGCAGGATGACCTATGTCTGACATTTCCTCAGACAACGTTAGCAGAGGCATCACCTGTTCATGCAACTCATCACGAATTATTTTTCCAAACTTCTAAAGACTCCTTCCAAAGAATGCAAAAGTTGGACAAAATTCCTCTAATCTAGTGTGCTATATGCAAGCATAAAGCGTGTCCTCTGGAAGAACGAATGCAGAACAGGTGACATCTTTGTTGACCATGTTGAACATGTCCACAAGCTCAGAGTACTCCATGGCTCACTACTTAACTCACCCTTTCGTTCCCACTCAGTGTTGTTTATGCCTTAAGGCCATTGCAACCAAACTCATCATAAGCCTAAGAAAGAATAGTCTATCTTTCTCCAGGATATTCTGCATCATTCTGTTCTGAGCATTCATCTAAAATACTTCAGATGTAGTTAATTTCCCCAATTCCCACACAGTAGACATTGTTAAGTTATATATAAGGTAGGGGTATCATCTTTAGGGTGGAATAGAGACAAATCAATGTGGACTGCATCAAAATGTATTTCTGGCAGTTGGGACAGAGTCTGCATTTCTTAGTGATTTTTCTGTACAGCTTGATGAAGTTACTGATTGTTTCCAGTGAGTTTTATGTTAAATTTCATCCTTTTCATCTGCAACTTGTTTAGCAGTCACCAATCTGAGTCATAGTCCTTTGATGATCCTCGAACATGTTGGGACATTTGCTCTTGCCTCTTTGGAGCGGCACGGTGGCTCAGTGGTTAGCACTGCTGCCTCACAGCTCCAGGGACACAGGTTTGATTCCACCCTCAGGTGACTGTCTGTGTGTGTGGAGTTTCCACATTATCCCCGTGTCTGCGTGGGTTTCCTCCAGGTGCTCCGGTTTCCTCCCACAATCCAAAGATATGCTGGTTAGGTGGGTTAACTATGTTAAATTGTCCATAGTGGCCAGGGATGCCTTGATTAGGAGGATGGATCTGGGTGGGATTCTCTGAGGGTCAGTGTGGACTTGTTGGGCCGAAGGGCCTGTTTCCACACTGTAGGGATTCTATGATTCTTGTGAGGGAGTTTGTTGTAAATGACTTCAGGCACTGCTCTCACATTAAATTCCTCTTTTAAGGGGTTAACTAACAAAATCAGCAGACCTGCTTTGCAGACTGTTGCTAAAACAACAGTACAGAAAATAATAATAATTAAAACATTAAAAATTAATCTAAATCACTTCATGGTATCACCAATGAATGGCCTCCGACCCAGTTCATTTTTTTAAAAATAGGGAGGTGATGGCCTAGTGGTACTATCGCTAGACTGTTAATCAAGAGACCCAGATAATGTTCTGGGGACCTGTATAAGAATCCCGCTACAGCAACGGTGGAATTTGAATTCAATAAGAATCTGGAATTAAGTGTCTAATGATGACCATGAATCCATTGACAATTGTTGGGAGAAACCCATCTAGTTCACTAATGTCCTTTAGGGGAGAAAACTGCCATCCTTACCTGGTCTGGCCTACATGTGACTCCAGACCAACAGCAATGTGGTTGACTCTTAACTGTTCCCCTGGGCAATTAGGGATGGGCAATAAATGCTGCCTGACCAGCGACATCCTCATCCTGTAAACGAATAAAAAATAATGCCAAGTGATTCCCCTGACTAGAAAACCTGGGACACGAGATCAGAATCTTCAGAGGAAGGATCAGCCATTTGGAATCGTGATGAGGAGAAATCTCTTCAGTCAGAGGGTTGTGAACTGTTGGGGAAAAGAACGCTACACTAGGGAGCTCTCGCTGCTCAGTCACTCAGTTTATTCAAAACTGAGA